TACACACTGATCAAATCCAACAATCTACACTTGGTCTTGTTATCTTTACCAATTGACCAACTTGACAACGAAAAATGACCCCAGACTGACGAACGATGATCAAGTTAGTAAACTTTGTTTTGATATCATAACAGATGTACTATTACCTTTGTTATTTGGTTTAGTGATCTTCATTGCTATTTTTACTTTCAATATGTCCCTTTAACTTGACCTACGTCTATTTTCTCACCCCTTAACTCTTTGATATATATATATGCTGAGATTTTGTAAATTCCGGTTTAATAATACTTTGATAAAGCTATTAGCATTAAATAGCGAAACGTCAGTAAAAACAACAATATCGTTTTGTTTTTCATTCATTGGGAAATACAGAAACCTTTATTATAATGAAGAAAAATTACCCCTTAAAAGTTTTCATTCGAAGAAAATTAGAAAGTGAAGTTCTTATTCACTTTTCTAAGCATTTTCAAATTCATTATTAGATAGGCGCATGGTATCGGTTTGATTCATGTCATTTTACACTGATAAATAACCCTATTTACTGACTGTGTGTGTGACCGGACTGATGTAGGTTGTATGCGTTTTATCCTGCTGCCTTCATACCACTTCAGATTATTTATTTATTATTATCACTAGATTAAAGGTTTTCTATTCCGTTTTGTCAATTTTATCCTTTTATATAGGCCATAAATTATTATTATTATTATCAGCATTTTGGAGGCAGTATAATAAATGAGGCTCACCAGTAGTCGACCTTTTATTTATGACATGGATAATCCATACAGTAAAATTTATTTGTTGGTTTTAGTTTTTTCACTTTCAAATTACCCGGAAAAGATATATATAAACAAACTGAAAATGTGAAGGTTTTTTATCACAAATTAATATTGATATTTCAAATCGCCAAGTACTGAATATATATATATATATATATATGCCCTTGGTGTCGATGATAACTAAATACAACAAGTCGAATTACCAGTGTAACCATCGCCGTGCTAAATTGTCGAAGGCAGTAGACAGGAAGCCCTGGACCTAAGTTTAGTGCTTGTCCGTGTTGATGACAAGGTCAGTTCTGAAACGCTGTAGGCACTGCCGACTGTTACAACTAAGCCACTACCAAAAACCAAAGCCTAGAAGTATGACATTAGTTCCACCTTAGTGACGAATCAGTATACTCACTACAGTCCCACAGGAGGTCAGTCGTGCTACCGGATAGCCCAGTGGTAACGTCTGTGAATGAAGTGGTGTACATGACGCTTGCTCAAATATCTGAGGGGATTGTGTTAATCATATGTATGTTGCACGACTGCACACCTTAAAGATTTACTTCCTCTTTATCGCAAAGGAGCTGTTGTAATCGCTTTGTTTAAGTCAACTTCTTTGTTTTCCCCATTAATTGATTGGACCCAAATGTTCGGTCTCTGTTGACATATGGAATCCTAATATGTGTCAGATGCTTCGACAATTTCTAAGGAATTAACATAAACAAATAATCAATGATAATTTTCAAGTATTGCATTTGTAAGGATTTTGTTTGATTGCATGGAAGATTTCATCATGAGCTGACATCAGTTAGAGAACCACTGGAAAACCAGGGAGTACTAGACAGCTGTCTCACCCTAGTCCCGAAGAGTCCCAAACTAGGAGGAAACAGCTGTCCAGTACTCCCTGGTTTTCCAGTGGTTCTCTAACTGATGTCAGCTCATGATGAAATCTTCCATGCAATCAATGATAATGGTTGGAAAAAAACCTGTCGTGGCTCAAATGGTCTGTAGATTAACGTTTTAGCATCTGAAACAATGGGTGCTGGGTTCGAGCCTCATCAGTGCGAACACGATCACTCACTGAGGTATGATGCTATGATGATATCCAGCTGACAAATCCTAAATAGGACGAAACGCATATCATTCATTGTATTCTACTGTTAGTTACCATCCAACTAAATAACATTTTGTTATTGCTTTGTTCAAACAACACATTAATCAACACTACCGTGGTAGTAAATGTGTTTGTGACCACCATGTACCCATTTCACACTATCTTGGTTACTGTTAATTAGTAAACTTGTGAATCCAATTACTTTTACATTTAACCATGCCAATACAGCACCCATCTTACCCTACTGACTCATATTTGCGCTTATATGTACAAGAATCATAAACCAAGCAATAATCTACTGACTAGGAGTTTTTAGACCACATGAATGAATCTGCATGTATGTAAGTATAACACAAAGGCACGCACACGGTAGCATATTATTCCAAATATTCATTTCCTCAACAATATATTCTCCTTTTTTATTTCTATCCCTACCACCCTCCTGCCTCCATCATAGATACTGCTTCTGTGAATTCATTTAACCAACTTTAGATTATGTATTATCACTGACATAAATAAATACACAAACAGCATCAGTCGAGTGGAAAAGAAAATCACATTTTTATTGTAAAAATAAGTGAGAAACACGCATCTATATATTTCTGTCTATTCATACATGTGTGCGTGTGTGTGGGTGTGCGGATATAGTTTCTTTTATTTTTCATCGTTTTTTTTCATACGACATTTCAATGACTGTAATCAATAATGCCATTTTAGTCGTTGAACCAAGTCTCCAATATGTCGTGAATAATTTTCTTATATATTCGCCATACACCTTCACATTTTAAATGTGATCTTTCTTCGTTTCTTTTATTATTCGACTAATTTATAGCCAATTTAGTTAAGTGCTTGTTAGCATAATTTCTTTTTTCAAGTATTAGTTTTAGAACCATTGTAAGCCACTATAGAGTACTGGATAGTTGTTTCGTCCTAGTTTGGGACTCTTCAGGTTAGCAGACGAGCTCGCCAACCATTCAGTGATTAGGGCGGAATCCACTGGCCATTGAATGCTAACTTCTATCAATTAACAAATATTTTTTTCCCATTCCTTTGAGATCCGAGTAGAACTCAGAGCCTCAAGTTTTGATCTTTGGAGATTCAATAGCTGGGGTGGGGATTAGATTTCACAGGGTTGAAGTTGATAGCCTCCTACTCGAACTCCTCTCCTGTTTAGCGGGCTTACTACTGCCTAATAAACTAGGCGATGTTTAGGAGTTCAGCCGCCGGGAATCGAATCGTGGACCACATTGTTGAGCAATCTACCATCATGCCAGCGACACATTATTATACGGATACTTTTATTCATTATAGTCCAGTCATGACACATGTGTATTAGTCGCATATCCGTCTGATTACTAGGATTCTAGGAATTCTCTGGCATTCTTGATGTTTCCACTGTTTAAAATTTCTACATTTTCCCTGTCAAATTGGAGTCTATAGTTGTATACATGCATATACTGATATGCAAGAATTCATCGTTTAATTCCTTTACGTTCCCAGTGGAAGATACGGCTTCAAACTAGAGGTTTGAAGTTTCGATAGCAGTGATGTATATTTTTACGGGGAGGGGTTTGCTAGCCTCATGCCCAGACTTCCCTCTTTACCGGTCTTATTACCGGCTTAGCGAGGTGAAAGGGTGAGGAGGTTGGCTATCGAACTGTCGACCACATGCGTGGTTGGCGAGCATTGTACCGCTAGGCCAGCGACGCATATAAAGGATACGATATTATATGCAAGAATACATGTCGCGTCTTTTTTATAGCTAGTTTATGTTCTTGAATTCAGAGTTAAAGGGAACTCTCAGTTTGACTTATATAGAGCTATTCACACACAGTTCATGTAATCTATTTTGTAGATGGTGTCGATCTTATCTTCTTTTGCTATTAGGTGGGTTTTTTGGTCTCCACAGTATTAAATAAGGTGACTGTGTTGGTTGTTGTGCGATAGCTATTCGAAATGGTATTAATGTTTTAACCATCATTTCAGAAATATGTTTCATATATATGAAGAGGAATTAGGCAGTGGTTAATGAGGTTGGTTTCTTGCTGTTACTTTCACTTTTTTAATAAAATTGTGAAGACAGTTAATCTCTATTCTTCTCACGACTGAAGTACTGCAGTGTGTTGTAGCATATTAACATATGTGTAAAACGTGGGCACTGTGGTAGTAAGTAATTCCATATTAGTTTGTTTATTAGATGTATCACACAGTGAAACAGTATTATTTACTGGATGATGTTTCGAACACAACTTTTATTGTTCATAATCATTTCATCAATTATAATCACACGACTTCGAAACTTGAGTTTTATAGTTTTCTTTGTTCTCTCATATTTGTGTCGTTGGGGTAGTAGAATTTTCCAGATATCTAGGTGAACAGGTGTTGAATCATTCCTATTACACGTGTTTGCAGTTGATTCGATGAACAAAGCCTCCGTTGTTATCAATCTCTCCCTCCACCCTGTGACATTAGATTTTAAAACTGTCATTTCCTACCATCCTATTATGTATGGTTGTGTGTTATTGCATGTAGTACTTGCGGTAGCTGAACAATTCTCTAGATTTCTTATCTTATTCGGGTCAACTAATCTAGATTTCGCCGTTAGGTTTTTATGCTCGGCTAGTCTGACTGCCCCTGTTCTACTACTTTGCCCCATGTATTTGACCTGACAATTATTGTAGGCAGGGTAATAGATAAACTAAACTAGAGTGTGTTGTAGCCTTTTTTGAGTTTCTTTTGTTTGTCGTTCGACTATCACTGTAATAGTTGAGTGAGTATTCAGTGAGTTCTAGGTCGAGGTCACACTTAGAACTGCAAAGACGGTTAATTGCACTATTATCTACCATCTCGCGTTATCAAAGTTCTTATTACATTTTAAATAATCTCCTCTGTGGATTTTCCCAGTATCTCTTCTCGAAATGCAAAACATTTTGAAGCCTGCGATATCAGAGAAAGATCACTAAACTAGTTTCAGTCTGATTAATGAATTTTTTTACTTTGTTGTGTTAAGATTTTCAACTAACTGAGAGATTCAATCAGTCATTCACCTCACTTTTCACTTTTATTAAACAAGTTCTCTCTCTCTATTGTCTTTTATCGCTTTTTCTTTTGCATACTAGTGACACTTTGTGATCCAGGCGATATTGTCCTACTAGGATCTGATGGCCTAGTCGATAACTTTGATCCAGTGATTACACGATTAGCTGTTCCAGAATCACCACATTTAGATTTTGTCGACGAAGAAGAAGAAGAAGCAGCAGTTGAAGACCAAGGTGAAGAACACCAAGAACACGAAGACGTTTCTCCAACTGATGATCTCGGAGTCATTCATATTAGCAACAGCAGCTCTGCTAAAAGTACCTCCTCATCTGATTCTAGTAAATCACCTACTTCACCATTATGGCGTCCATCTAAATCATGGTTAAATAATTCATCAATAACTCCACCGCCTCAAGTAAGTATTTGGCCCCAGCCTCCACCACCGCCAACAACTGATCCAATTAAATTATTCTATCCAAATCTTACAAGCGTTAATCATCCCACTGATAATGAAACCAATACAATCTGTGCTCAACAAATTAACTTTACTAATCAACTCGAATTGAACTGGTATGAACGTCGAAGGTATGCTGCAAAAGAACTTGAACGTGTCTGGCATGAATTAGATATTAGTACAGAGATGCATAAAACTCCACAGGTATCAGATGGTATATTTAGTTCAAAAGATCTGTGTGAAGCATTAATTAACTATGCCTATCATATTACAGCGAAAAGACGTGAATGGTTAGAGAATCCCCAATATGCACATTTAAGGCAGAGTCAAACAACATCTCATAGTAATAGTGAAAATCATAATAAAAACATTAGTAATAGTAACAATAATAATGATGATGATGATGATGTTAATAATAAATCTTGTAATGATAATAATGGTTATTCATTCGATACACAAAAGAAATGGTTTACTGATATGCTTAAACGTATGCCAGGTAAACTAGATCACGCGACAGTGGTCGCCTATGAAGTAGGCGTGTATCGTGGGAATGAAAATGAAGTATATGAAGAGACAGCACATCGATATCATACACCGATGACATTGAATTCACCAGTGCATAATTCAGCGATTCCTTCAGAGGTAAAATAATTTTTAAAAAAACTCTTTGTTCATGTTTGTACAGGAATAACTTCAGAGAAATACATTCACACTTCCATTATTCTTCTTCGTATTTTTCCGTGATATTTCGCCGTGATCATATTGTTTATTTTCAGTTTACAATCACCTCATGTATAGATAGATCCTTTCTCTTTTCAGCCATCTCTTTTTCATTCTTGAATATACACAGATAATAATCCTATTTTATAGTATGATAATACGAGAACAGTAATATTTATTATTCAGGACTTTTTTTTATTTACATCACTAAAAGTACGTACACACATGTACATATATATATATTTATCCATCAATAGGATGCTTAAAATGCGCGCTTCGTCAATATTCAATGTTTCAATATTTTTTAACACTTATAGCATAACGTTATTTATTACTATTTATTTCTAAAGAAAAGAAAACGTGTCACATATGTATTTCTGGAAAAAAAACAAACGAAATATTTCTGTTTTCATTCTTTTTTGTTTTTAAAACAAAATTTATTTATTCATGTACAGTAAATTGCTAAGTCGTGTTTCTGTTTTTTGTTTAACACTCTATCAAAAAATCCCATCATAACACATAAAATACATATGCAAATTAGGATGAATTCTCATTATATATGAGTATGATAAATATAACACTTTTAGAGAGAGAATCTACTGTCTTGTTAACTTGGATAATTGAGTTTTTTTTTCTCACAATCTGTCGTCAGAAAAGAAAAGAGAAGTAATAGACAATAATATATTTTCTCCTTTATAAAACTATGAAAGTAAATGTTCGTTGACGCGTTTGGATAGCGAACGCTGAGTACGGCCAATATACCTGGCTCTACACGAGCAGGTGAATTGGTAGATGCACATAGATGAGGCCAACAGCGTTAGCTTATCCTTCACGTTCATGCGAATCATTGGTCTCGTGGAGAACGTCAGTCGTAATTCAGCTGCAAAGAAGGTTTACTTCAATGAGCTGGAGAGCCGATTTCTCAGTATTTCTGTAGATTGGTCTCCATTGAACTGTATGTAGGTTAATATAGAGAAATCCTTTTGGAGCACTGCGTGTGGGCGGCTTCTCTGGTCTGGGTTTCATTGATTTTGTGATAAATCTTTCTGGATAGCCATTTTCAAGGAGGATTTTCTTAAGAGTGTTCATTTCATCTTCTATGGCGTCCAGGCTGCAAATTCAACGTATTCTAGGGCTTTATGAACGGATTAGGTTTCGTTTAGTATATAGAGGTACCCAACTGTGGAAGTTAGTAAGCTGTCCGTTCCACGTTGGCTTTCTGTAGATGGATCTTTTTAATGTTCCGTCTTGTTGGCGTCTCGTTAGTTTAACATCAAGAAAAGATATCTTTGAGCTAGAATCCTTCTCTTGTGTGAACTGAATTGCAGGGTGGCAGTTGTTGAAGAACTTCAAGATATCTTCTAAATTCTCTTCTTTGTTGGAGATGATGAAGGTGTCGTCGACGTATCTCTTGTAGAGTTCAAAGTTATCAATCATATTCTTTAGGCAAGTGTTTTCGAGTTTCGACAAAAAGAAATCCGCAAGCAGAGGGCTTAGTGGTGAGCCCATAGCTATATCATCCTTTTGACGATATATTTCATTCTTGAAGGAGAACTGGACGTTTAGGGTGCATCTCAGCAGAAGTTCTTTGAGATAGACGGTGGGTATGCTTTTGTTTACTCCTTTTGAGTGGATGAGCTCGCATATGTGACAGATTGTTTCAGTTAGTCGAACATTTGTAAACAATGAGGCAGCATCTAGTGAGATCATCGTTTTATTAGAATAATATATTTTGTGTAAAAACCTTATAAAATACCACGAGATTATGTGATTGATTTCCAACTAGTCTTGTGGTTAATGTTTTCGGTAGCGTATTACTGATGGTAATTTTCGTAGTTCATGCTCTGACTGTGATTTTTTGGGTACAGGGAGGCGATTCTGTATGTGAATAGATGGAGTCAGTTGGAAGTAATCACTCGCCTAGAGACTAATGCCCACCCAGCTCATAGTTTTCGATTGAGATTCCACTTGAAAGTTTGGCACAGAATGTCACTCAATGGTCTTCTAAGCGTATGTCCAGTCCATCTCTCTCGACCGATAGGTTGCTGGTTGGTTCGTTGCCAGAGTTCTTTATGTCTTATCCTCTCTGGCTGTCCATATGATCTTCTGTATCGAGCGATAGCAGTTGTTGAAGGCATAATAAAAAAGGATGTTAAGCATATAAGTTGGTATTTTGATGTCATTCAAATACTTGACAGACGTCTCCTAGTTTGACGTCCAGTCACCTTTACATAAGACTAATTTGCCAACTTTGTAACAACACACGTATTTTTGAATAAAGAAAGAAGAAACAATGGCGCCGAATAATCTGGATCCATTTTATTTCGTTGGCTCTCATCAGCTGCGTACAACCTGAATTCTCTAGTAAAATAAAAGTGTACAATTTTAACAACCTGTTGTCCATTAGCGAGCATATTGTCAGAGCGTCATAGTGAAATAAGGCGTTGAGATTTACAGGGTGTCTAAAGTGTTACGACATATATATATCTTGTTAGCAAGTTTCTTGAAAAAATTAATTAACAGTTGTGTTGTTGGGGTGGTAACAAGAAAATTAGTATTAGTTACGTAATTAGATAAGAGAAGATCAAAATTTCGGTGCACATGAGGTCAGATGAGAAGTTGATGATGTAATACAGTGAGCAGAACCCAGAAGATCAGGAGAAATTATCTCTTAAGAGAGTCAAACGAAACATAAAGGGGGGCGGGTGGAATGAAAAGATAAGTTAACAAAATTAGGAAACAAAGAGTTACTAAGAAGTGAGTCACCAGGGTAATTGAAGTCTAACAACGGATTCTTTTGGGACACATAAGTCAGGCTTCAATCGTTTTATTGCCTATAGCTTCAGCAAACCCTGAGAAGACTTGAGGTACTTTGTCTGTTAATTATTTTGAATGATTCCAGCACATCTATTCGGTGTCTGGTGTCAATCAGATGTTTGGCTATTGAAGAGCTTTATTAATTCGGTCCCTTTAACCGGAGGCTCCTTGGTACATGTTCGCAGAATCTGACGTAGGCCCTCCTCTCAGTTCTTCCAATGTAACTGCTGCAGCAGATACATGTGAATTGGTATACACAGTTGGAGGTAACACATGAGGGGTACTTGTCAATCTTCGAGGAGGTTGTTCGGGGTAGAGAGACTAATAATGCTGCAGCATACGTCCTAGACAGGGCTGCGCTTAATCTTTTATTTACCATTCTCATAATGTCGTCGCCCTTGTAGTCAAGTTTGATGAAAATAGGCTTCTTACTGATTGTAGTTGTATCAAGCTTCTTGAATCCATTCTTACTATATTTGTTAATGAAACTTTGTGGGTAGCCATTTTATTTCAAGCATTCTTCAAGAAGCATTAGTTCACTGTCTAGTTTGTTTGGTGAACATATTCACTTCGCTCTAGAGAAAAGTGTTTTCACCAGCGTTCGTTTGTATCTCACTGGGCAGAAGCTGTTGAAATTCAAGTAAAGATCACTCCATGTGTCTTTACGATATACAGATCTTTCGAGTGTTCCGTCAGAAAGGTATCAGTAAGTTATGTTGCTACTACTTCCTGCCTTCCTGCCTAAGAGTAGTGTAGTGTTCACTGCGCATATGTACACATATCTGATAATAAGTGAGTAGTAAGATCTACATATACATTATTACTACGGATGAAAACAGATAAATTATGAGGTAATACTTAGGAGTAGCGAATTTCGCTTGTGAAAATATTTGATTTACGCTGAAATAGTTTATGACTGTTACTTTTATTTCACAGTAACATCTACTTCTTGAAACCGAATTTCTTCAAAGATGAGTGATATCAGCTTTTATTGCTTAAGTTGGTGCGTCGGTGGCACAGCGGCTAGGACGCTCGCCGACTGTGCATATGGTCCGGGGTTCGATCCCTGGCCACAGACGCACTCCCTTACCTCACTAAGCCAGTAATAAGACTGATAAAGAGGAAAGGCTGGGCATGAGGCTAGCAACTCCATCCTGTAGAAATAAAGACTGCTACAGAAACCTCAAGCTGTTTAGCTTGAAACCCTATATTCCACTGGAAACGTGAAGGAATAAAACAGATTATTTAAGTTGTACTTCCCGTTGATTTATTAAGTTTAATCGATATCCTAGGTCTTTACTAAAATCTCATTGCCTGGTATGGAAGATTGCACATGATGTTATTTTGGTTGGTGGTTGAAACAATAGGTGCAGGGTTCGAGTTTTAGTAGGGATACCATCGCCCCCTGGATAGGATGCAGCTATATCTAGGTGATGAAGTCCAAACGAGAAGAAATGCGCATCCTAGACGTCACTGCTAGTCACCATCTGTCGAAGTAACATACATTAGTTGTGTGTAATCCTGGCACGCTCTGTCTATTATGCAGCTAAATGTTGTTTGGAGAGAGGCATAATGCACATAAGAAACAGAGATTTCACCAATACTTATGACTGGTTTCAAAAGGATGCGCAAAGAAATGCATAAACATACACAAGAAAACAATATAAGCAGTTTAAAATTCTAGTAGAAATATTTTTTTCACAATAAAGCACGAGGTCAGTCGATGTAGCCAACACATGCATATTTCTTGCTAGTTGGCATTCTGAACAATCCAAAAAAAGAGAGTCATGCATAGCCAAGAAAACAAATGCACATGACATCAATAAGCAAATTTGTATTACACGCTGGAATTCACTAGCACTGTCTTTTGACAAAGTAAATGCTATTCTAAAATGACATCTGTTTTAGGTTGAGAGGGAATCCTTCTCTTCAGGCTGAATACATACAAATGAGTGTCGACCAGAGGAATTCCACTATTTATCTATGAACTGAACATAATGCAGATTACTAGTACTACGTATTTTAAACCTCCTATAGTGCATAATTCAGACTGTTAAAAGCAGCACCTACCAGGTTACTTAACCCAAGTTTTTCCCGCACATTTAACAGACTGACTTCGGTGTGATTTATAACGTTGCACGTATTCCCTAGGCTGTCGTCTGTTTGTCTGTCTGTTTTCGACATAGAACTTTACACATATGTGCGGCAGTTCAAGTCGCCACACTCCCTCCTTGTAGCACACAAAGCAAGAGAAGAAAGTAGGAGAAATGCATATTAGAGACAGTAAACAGAGGTATGAGACAAAGGTATAGTAATAACGGAGAACAAAAAAGTTTAATTGGAAATCATGAGTCACAAGGAGTGGATGCATCTGCACCATTGAGAACGATTTTGAGCCATGTCACCAATTGTTTCCAACCATTCGTTTTTACCGCCCCGAGGACCCCAACCAGACAGAAGTCTACACCTTCCTACATGGCCTAGACTAACTGTTGTGGATTTCATTGACTGATGCTGCCGCTAGCTCTTTTCCAGCCTGACCCTATGTCAGCTAACATTGCCCGTCGAGGAAGACGATGACTAGGCATACGTAACACAACACAAGTCCTAACCATCTCAGTCGATTTAGCTTCA